AAGATTAAATTTTATAAGAATGAATATTATCATTTTAAAATATTAATAGTTTTAAAAAAAACTACTATTAGATAATATTTAATAATTTAAAAAATATTTTTGAATATTTAATAATTAAAAGATAGGAGAGAGATAAAAGATATACGTGTGAGATTAGAAAGAAAAAATATGAAGGATTTCAAAATTCTTACCTTTTTGGAATAATTTGAAATTCTACTATTTTAAGAAATTTCACAAATCCTTGGATTTCAAATTCTTTGTAAATTCTCCATCCAAACAAAACATTTCATCCCAAGACATTTGAAATTCTTAAAAAAAAATGAATTACTCCATTTAAATTCCTCATCTAAACATACTCTTAAGGTTTAGGGTTTAAGGTTTGGGTATGCTGACCTTATATGTTTTGCCTTTATTGTAGTTGAAAAGATACAAGACTCAAAATTAAGGAATTTTAAAGAGGTTGTGGAGAGTAAGGAAAAATAGTATTGGTTATAAGCTGTAAATGAAGAAATGAAGTCATTGGATAAAAATTAGACTTGGATGTTTGTGGATCTACCCAAGAATCAAAAGGTAGTTGGATGCAAGTGGATCATCAAGAAAAAAGAGGGTATTCTAGGTGTAGAGAAGGTAAGGTATATGTCAAGGCTTGTGGCAAAAGGGTTTACCCAAGTGGAAGGGATTGATTATAATGAAATTTTTTCGCTTATGGTAAAACACTAGGATTTTGATGACAATTGTGAATCAATATGATCTAGAGTTGGAACAATTAGATGCCAAAACAACTTTTCTTCACGGGAACCTTGAGGTTATCTATATGCTACAACTAGAGGGGTTTGTAGATGATAGTCTAAGGCCTATCACTTTAGAAAATCACTTTATGACTTGAAACAAAGTTTGCATATGTGATATAAAAAGTTTGATGAATTTTTTTGTTAAGCTTAGGTTTCATGAGGAAGAACTATGACAATTGTGTATACATGTTAAAAAGAAGAGAAAAATGTGTTCTTTTCTTGTTGCTACATATGGATGATATTCTGGTTGTAATCTCTAGTAATTAAGGATGAGATTAATATGCTTAAAGGGAATTAAAATTCAACTTCGAGATGAAAGATCTCAGTGCTGCTAATAAGATACTTGGAATGGATATTATGAGAAATAAGTTAGAGAGAGAATTGTTCTTATCTCAACATGGGTACATACAAAAGGTGGTGGAGAGGTTTAGGATGCATTAATCTAAACTTGTTAGCACTCTTTTAGGTTATCACACAAAACTCTCTATCGCCAAGCTCCCAACACTAAAGAGGAAGGGAGGGAGATATGTTCTACTCCATATGCAAGTGGACTTTGTAGCAAACCTGATTTGGCTTCTACTATTAACATTGTTAGTCGATTTATGACAAATCCAGGTCAAGCTCACTAGGAGGCTTTAAAGTGGATACTAAGGTATTTGAACAGTTCTAAAAAATCTGGTTTGAGATATAAGAAGACAGTTCAACATGGAGAAGCTATTATGGGGTATACTGATGCATACTATGTAAGAAATGTGGATACCAAGAAATCCTTATTTGGTGTGTGTTCACTTTGTTTGGAACTGCTGTTAGTTGGAAAACAAATTTACAACCTATGGTAGCTTTGTATAAAACACAAGTAGAATACATTATTGTTGCTAAAGGAGTGAAGGAAGCTTTATGGTTAAAAAGGATAATTGATGAATTAGGTATATCACAAAATTGTGTGATAGTTCATTGTGATTGATGAAGTGTTTACACCTTATGATTCATCAAGTTTATCATGAGAGAACAAAGCACATTGATATAAGACTTTACTTTATTAGAGATGTGGTTGAATATAGAGAAAATTAGATTGAGAAAATTACATCTGAAGCCAATCCTACTGATATGTTTATGAAATCTCTTTTAACATCCAAGTTCAAGCATTGCTTGGACTTGATTAACTTTGTCTTGTGTTCATTTTGAAGTGGGAAAACAATACTGTTATGAAAGGGTTCATTTCTGTAGATTTAGAGTCAAGGTGGAGAATTATTGATTATAACTCAAAATCTAATGTATCATTTGTATGCTCTATAAAGTCTTTCGTTTGTATAATCTTATAGGTTCAGTCTATTTCCATTCATTTGATGGGTTTAGACTATCCATATAGTCTGTCATCATTCATCTAATGGCTTCAGTCTGTCTTCATTAGTCAGATGGGTTCAATTTGTC